ATCCGAACCCTCGGACGGGAGCGCCGCCGCGCTTCCCAAGCGGCGCACTTATCCAGTGCGCCACCGGGCCGGCCCAAAGTTTGCTGATTTTTGCAGTAGATTTTCTTCTTCATACTTTATTTTTCACCTTTCCCCCAAATTTGAGACCATTTAAATAACTTAAGGGAGATTCACACTGAAGTCCTCAGAAAAACAAAGAAAAGATTCTAAAACTGTCAGGGGTTTTTTCTTATATAACATGATCACTACATTATTTATTATTATAATTTTTATAGACTAAACTGAAAACATCAATCAGAGCTATTCTGTAATACAGTCTAAATGACTGGTGAATTATGGAAATACTCCAAATGGAGAAAACATATATAGGGCAGCCACATTAAATATGAGGTATATGTTCCTGAAAAAACCTGAATAATGTGAAACTAGCATAAGTTAAGACTAACTGTCTTATACATATAATGTAGAGGAGGGATGCATTCTTAGAGTACATGAATCTATAACCAATATAGAATGTTTTCATAAATACATGTTAATAATGCTTATTAATATATAATATAATACATTAAATTAGTATATTAATTATACAATTGTGTGGTTAATAATGTAATAATTAATTTTACAACACAGTGATTTATTAATCATGTAATTTTAAAATATAATTTAATGCACAATACATAATATACAAATAAATACAAAATTAGCTTAATGACATTACATTAACTAATACGGTATACTGCCTGAAAATAATTATAACTAGAAATTATTATTATCATCATCCAACAACACAGATAATGGGAGGGTTAAAAGATACTAAATTAGGATAAGCTATCTCTCCACATTCTGATGAAGGTGGGTCCGCTTCGCTGGAAGACTTTTTTTACTAAAGAATCAATCTGACATGGTTTGAATTTTTTCTTTTTTTTTTTCACTGAGGATTTCTTGAAATACAGATACATTTTCTATCTTTTGCCTTGCCACCATGGAACAGCAGTCTACATTTGGATCATCCTCAAAAATAGTAATTGCTGCTGAAATATGGTCAAAAGCCTATGCCAGTCACTTTGTTGTTAGTTGTCCTGGAAGGTCAAGGCTAATTGCCAAGGTCCACATCCTGCTGCCTTTGTTTTTCTAAATCTAGCAAGTCTTCCTTTGTTAATCCATGGAGGACAACCCAAGGAAAGTTTCAACAACCCCTCTATCAACCTTGTGCAGATTTACCTTCTGTGCCACTTTCACAGATTCTTTATTAGCAGGTGTTATGTGGTTTTCTAAGCTAATGCCTCTTTAAATTATGTTAAAGCTGAAATGTTTTGATAGCTTCAGAGTTAGTAGATATGGCTTGCCTGCTCATTATTATATTCTTAAAACCTTAGTGTGCCTTAAAATTGGAAAGCAAGCCATGACTTGGAGTAAATCTTTGTCTCCCTGTCATCTGCTTTCAAATCATCAAAAATACTTCTTGCCTTAACACAGATGATAGCTTGGCCTTAGGGGCACATTATGACAGCACTGTTCTTGCAGCCATAGTGCCGGAATTATTTCCATTTATCCCATTATCCTTGTCTGGTTATAAGATAACTTTTGTGAACTAAGGGGTATACCTGATTTAATGCTACTTTTCGTTTTTTGAGCATTACCTCTACTATTCTGCAGGGTACACGCTCCTAAATTAACGGCATGAGATATCATAGCAGTGGTTTGGTCATCTTCATAGATTTTTTTGTCACATATAACTTTTGTTCCAAAGTTACTGGATTTGGGGCACATTTCTATAGCACCAGCACTACCACTTAATGAACAACTGAATGACACTGTTATATAAAAAAGATTTTTAATTATATCAAGAGTAAATGTTAAGATAGCAGCACAACAGTAACCAAAAACATTAACCCAAGATCTGACACAGTATCATGTGATACTGATAAAGGATGATGGGAATTGTGTTTTCCTGCTAAAGTGACAGTGACACAGGGCAACAATGACATAGCTTAAATCCTTTCTGCCTGTCAGATTTGAAATTATGCATTTCTTGAAAAACTTTTTATTATTTTAGAAAGTTTCACAATATTTAAAATTTGAGACATAAAATAAGAGTTTAAATATATTTTCACTTTGCACTGTTTTCAGCCTCACATAATTCAAAGTTGCATAAAACAACATTACACTATACTTTCAAAAGCCTCTCTAGTCTGAAAGGAAAATACTTGAATGTAGTAAAAGAGAAAATTAAGCAACCAGATGGTATTAACAAGTATTTAAATAAATTAAGGAACGTGAACACAAATAATAAGATAAATCAATCTTACTAATGATCTAGGGTCAAACTGTAAGATTCAAAACAAAAGTTAGTGCACAATATATTACTCCACTTTTTTTTTTTTTTTTTTTTTTAAAAAATAACCGGAAAGGGGATCTTAACCCTTGACTTGGCGTTGTCAGCATCACGCTCTCCCAGTGAGCCAACCGGCCATCCCTATATGGGATCCGCACCCGGGGCCTTGGTGTTATCAGCACCGCACTCTCCCGAGTGAGCCATGGGCCGGCCCCTTACTCCACTTTTTTTTTTTTTTTTTAAAAGATGCCCGGTAAGGGGATCTTAACCCTTGACTTGGCGTTGTCAGCATCACGCTCTCCCAGTGAGCCAACCGGCCATCCCTATATGGGATCCGCACCCGGGGCCTTGGTGTTATCAGCACCGCACTCTCCCGAGTGAGCCATGGGCCGGCCCCTTACTCCACTTTTTTTTTTTTTTTTTAAAAGATGCCCGGTAAGGGGATCTTAACCCTTGACTTGGCGTTGTCAGCATCACGCTCTCCCAGTGAGCCAACCGGCCATCCCTATATGGGATCCGCACCCGGGGCCTTGGTGTTATCAGCACCGCACTCTCCCGAGTGAGCCATGGGCCGGCCCCTTACTCCACTTTTTTTTAAGACTAAGTTGCAAATAGAAAAGTACTCAGGTGTACATTAGAAAACTACATCCAAAATGAAAATAAACAAGTGACATTACCAAGAAAAATATTAGCAATAAAACTTACATCTTCAATGATCTTTGCTGCCCCTTTAGTAGCTGCACCTGTTGTAAATAAAAACATACATTATTATCCCCAGAATACACAGAAGTAAACATTGAAACCAAGAAGTTACTTTCCTCTCACTAAAGTGGGCTACAGTCTAGACCAGAATTTCTTGAAAAAATGTTCCAAGGAAACTGCATCAATATCTGCTTAGTAAAGGTAAGGATTCCCAGGCCCCACCTCCATCCTACTGTATTAGAATCTCTGGTGGTAAAGGAGCAGGTATAATAAAATAATTTGGGGGCCAGCCCGGTGGCGCACTGCTACAGTGCGCAGCTTGGGAGCGCAGCAGTGCTCCCGCTGAGGGTTCGGATCCCACATACAGACCGGTTCCCGCTCACTGGCTGAGCGAGGTGCGGGCGCAACACCGAGGGTTGCGATCCCGTTGCCGGTCCCGGTCCAGGTCCAGTACGGGTGCGACACTGAGGGTTGCAATCCGTTGCCGGACACGAAAAAAGACATAAATAAACAAATAAATAAATAATAAATAAAATAATTTGGGTTCTTAAAAAAATAAACTACACATACCACTTCTTTTTCCATCCATGCCACCCTGCTTGCTACCCACTTCCCTCAGAGAAATAGGGACATGTTTCCTTATATAATGTAATGAAAGATATTACTAATAAGAACTACTTAGGCTAGACAGCACTCACCTCTACAGTCTAGCCAAATGCCTTTATATCAATTCATACCTTTTAAAACACTGTTAGTGTTCCTTGTGGGCTGGGCAGCAGGTATTTTTGCCAGTGACACCACATTGGTTATAACTGGTGTCGTATCCGTCCTTGTAGAAGGAAGCTCCTTCAAAGCAGTTTGCACCTTAGAAATATTTACTGATTAAAATAAACAAATAGGTAAGAACTGGTGTAAACAAAAGAGTCACACACACACAGAAAAACATATTTAACAACTAGGTTTTCATGGAGCAATGAAGGCCTGACTGGTTAGCTCGCTTGGTTAGAGCACAGTGTTATAACACTAAGGTCAAGGGTTCAGATCCCCAGACCAGCCAGCCGCCAAAAAAAAATTAAGGAGCAATGCAAATATCTAATTCTATATAATGTCAGGTTAGGTGATTCTAGTCAGATTCATTAGGGCTTAAAGAGAGCCCGATTCTATAAAATTATAAACCCCAAATGACATTTAACAGGTAAAAACACAGGTATTAGCGTCAGGATTAACTGGGCTGTTCTATTACTGAATATTGAAACTCTTATACCTAAGTTTGCTTCAAATAAAAGCTGAACATGACAATTTTAAAAATAAGTTGATGAGGAAGCTATCCAATAACACTGGTTTTCTTAACCCACATTATAAAATGAATATTCTACCACTATCCTGACTAGTCCCAAGGAGTGGATGGCTAACACAGAAGATTAGCACAAGGCATACATAATCAAGGTGATGATTAATAAGACTGCAGAGATATGCAAGGGCCAGACTATAAGGAGCCAAAGCCTGTGGATTCTGTCAATTAGGCAGCACTCCAGGCTTTGATAAGAGAACATAGTATAAAGTGTTTTTAATCTAACACTCAAAAAGTGCTACTTAGGGGAGCTACTTTAAGAACATGCCACATATCTATCTATTCACCTGGATATTCTGACCACATGAGCCATCCTACTTATTTTATTCTTAGCCAGGAAAAACTTTATTTCCCATGAAGAACTGGTCTACTTTATTTTTTCTGACATAATTAATGTGTTGTTCTACTTCCTTGGCTATAAGCAAGCTCTGGGTCAAATCTTATGCCAGTCACAGCAACTATGTTAACATACTTTTATCTTTTCTCTTTGTTTGTCCTGATTTTCTATTTTTATTTCTAGTTTATTAACTAAATAGTATATATGCCTTAGTGTCACGTATTTATGCACAGATAATTTCAATCAAAAGCAATAAATCTAATTTCCCTACAAAAATTAGTACTTACACATTTATTGATTTCTTGGTGTCTTTGAATAGTAGAGCAAAAAGCATTAGAATTAATTTTTCCTCAGTGGCAATCTTTGAGGATTCTTAAAGAAAAATTTAAGGAAATTCAGGCTATTTGAATCCAGTGAAATTTTGTTTTTATTATATTATTTACAACTAACTGTGTGTGCTGATAGTACAAGGGGTCTTCAAATAGTTCATGGAAAGATTTATATTATCTTTTAATTTTATTTTTCCACAAACTTTTTGAAGAATGCTTGTGTATTCTAGCATTGACATAAAGATCCCATCATCCAAGTTTAATTCTACCTTTATTTTGTGAATGAGGTTCATTCTTAATTTGCTGATGACAAAACTCCAAGACACAAAACAGGTTACAGAAATGTTTGACGTTGCCTCGCCACTTTATGGACTCACTTAGCTTACCCTGTCGTTTACAACCATCACACTTGGCCATCTGAGAAAGAAATGTAAGAAAAGATAGGCTTAAAACTATAAAATAATCAAAAGATAACATCCATCATAAAACCAGAGGCAATATGAAACAGGATATATGAATCGGTTGGGACTATAAAATGTAAGGTTCCTATTTTAAAATATATATATTTAACCATTTGTTTCATATAGATGCACTACATCAAGAGAATATAAGAGTTGCTCTTCTGGGCCGGCCCGGTGGCGCACTGCTACAGTGCACCGCTTGGGAGTACGGTGGCGCTCCCGCCAAGGGTTCGGATCCCACATACAGACCGGTTCCCGCTCACTGGCTGAGCGAGGTGCGGGTGCAACACTGAGGGTTGCGATCCCGTTGCTGGTCCCGGTCCGGTACGGGCGC